CGCCCCGCTGGCCTTGCCCCCGCACGGCGTCTTCCCGTCCCTGCTGGCCCCGCAGCCCGCCGTCATCCCCCTGCAGCCGCTCTTCTAGCGCGCCCAGCGCGGGGAACGGCCCACAGCCGAGCCTCGGCATCAGCCTCTGCGGAGCTCGGAGCCATCCGGGCAAAGGAAAGCGCTCCAAGTGTTCCTCGGGAAGCGCTGGTGGTAATGATGCAACAAACAGACGAGCGAGTTCAGACCTATACTATTACTAAAGCACTGAATAGTCTGATACTAATTATGAACTATATATGTGAAAATCATGTCTTAGAATATGTATAATGTATATAAAATATATTTATAGTTCTATAACTTATGTTGTAAAGTATTCACTTTTTTGTTTTTTATCTTTGTGTATTTGCACCTATTTAATGTTTAGACAAAGCTGATGCACTATGTTTTGTACTATGTTCTCTGAAACTGTAAATCTAGTGACAAACTATCTCTTGCAATAAATTTTTTGTTAACTACTTAAGAATATCTTTCATTATAAGCCTCATGGATGTTGTTCTTCCATGTCCTTCTGCAGCTGAATAGCATCTTCTGCCCCTGCTGTGCTGGGATAACCAGGTTTCCTACGTGTCAGTGATTTATCAGGGGGGCTTAGGGGCCAGTACCTGGCGGGCAGCCGTCTCACCAAGGCACAGAGAAAGGGTAATAGATGTGTTTGTGTCGGAGGCTTGATGTCACCGTGACAAATTCTGCCTGTGTGCACACGCTGCTGACTGGTGGAGCCGATCCCTTTCACACTGAGCCACAGAAAGGCAGTGTAACAAATGCAATGCTGGAGAATGGAAGGGGAAGAAAGGCCGCTGTTGACAGCAGCTTGGCTTGGAGGGAGTGTTGCTGGTGGTGGAAGGGTGGAGCCCTGGTTCCACCGAGCGGTTTCTCTGATGGTCCCCAGGTCTGTCAGAGGAAGGTTGTTGCTGCTGGGCAGCGTGTGAAGGCAGCAGGAGCACAGGAGCATGAAGAGGAGGTCAGGAAACCCACCGCTGACACAAATTCTTACCTCACCTCACCCCGCTACTTCCCGCAGCATTTCACTAAAGAAATAGAATAACGCAAACTAGAGATTAATTATAGTAATAATTTACTACCATCGTTTCTAACTGTATTCCAGAGACTTCTCCCTACCTCTGCAGCCTTTTCATTGCTGTCAGGCCTCACACAGCTTTAGCTGGTGAAATCTCCTTATTTGCTTTAGCATGAGGTATATCAGACCCAGATATGGTACAGAATGAAAGCAGAAGTCACTCATCCCTTTGAGTTAAAACAAAGTGTTATCCTGTGAGTGAAGCCAAGGATTTGCAGCATGAAGGTTAGTGCTAGAAGTAGGCTTCCATAATAAAAGGTAGGTAGGCTCTCCCAATTAATGACTTCTTTCCACCTTTTTATATACGATAATAAAATCATATAAAGTTGAACTGAAAGAATAGTGAATTTTAAGTATTCTTAATATACATTGCATATTAATAGCTACAGATTTGCAAAATTATGCTATATCTTACAACATATATATCTGGATCTTATTTTCTGCATCGATAGCATTAGAACTTACCTGTATCAATATTGCAAGTTTTAGTATAATATTACATTGAAACTGTGGCAAACATCTTGCCACAATGATTACAGGGCCAGCTGCTCGAGGAACGCGAGCTTCCCGCTTAGCAAAGGGCTAAATTATGTTAATAGGCAAAAAGAAAGAGCAGATGAGCAGCCAGGTTCTGGAGAGTGTCTGGATCCCCCACCTGAGGCTGCAGCAGGGAGTGGGAGTCAGGGACAGCCACCCCTGGAATGCCAGAAGGAAGGCAGATTTTCTCCAGCTCTAACTTCAGGTGGATGCCCATTTCTAGTTCTGTGGTACCTACAAAATACAGGACTACAGGACTTTATGCTCCTTCTTTATCTCAGGAGTGTGCCTGCATAAGGTGTTTGTCTCCACTGCCTGCTGTTGGAATCTCCATGGGAAGCGGGAGGGCTGTCCTGGCTGATCTGGGTCCCTTGGCTGACGTCTCCTGGCTTCTGCATTCTGCCCTCCTCGGTGGGAGACAGCACACACACTGCCCTGGGTTCTGGTGTCCCATCAAAGACAAAATCCCCCCTCATTACAGAGCAGTACATTAAAAAAAAAAAAAAAAAAAAAAAGGGAAAGAATCCACATAGGACAGATACGGTTGCACATTCTGGCAGATTAAAAATAGCCAGTTTAAAATTTTCAGTTGCAATGCTCATTGAAAAATCCCATCTGTGAACTTGAAGACCACGTTTTTTTCACCAAAATGTTCCAACAGCTTTGAATTCTACTTTTTCCTTACAATTTAAATTATTTTAGGTTGTTAAACAGTGTTAAGACATTGCACAATTCTTTATTATCTACTGTAATTGCTGTTCAATAGTGTATAAACTATTTAAAATAAAAGACTAATAACCATAAAATGTAATAATTTTCTAATATGGTATTGCCTTTAATGCTAGAACTGTTTGTATATGTGACTTCATATGTAAAAGCAAAAGCAGTATAAAAATAAATCATAAGTTAAGTTTCAAATTGAACACACTAAATTAAATTACCTAATGAAATATTCTTTTGAGTTTCTGTTTTATTCTTAAATACATAACTTCTAGTAAATTATATAAGGGTAGCTGTTCTTCTTTTGTATATTTTTTCTGGTATTTTAGATTAAATGTGTATTTTTATTCCATAAATTGGTAGTCTGATTTATAAACAAAAACTATTGCAAGTGCTAAATAAGTGAATTTTTGTAATTCTAAATGAATTCTACCCAATTCCTTAAATCTAAGTAATAATTTACATCTGAATTTACGAATTTGCACAGATCTAGTGTGTCTATGCTCCTGTCCACTTTGCCAGATTTAGAATTTACTGGGATTTCTTCCTAGTGCAGGCAGGAAAAGTGTTGCTCCCAAAGGGCAAGAATTAGACCTTGGGATCAAGCCCTTAAGTGAGGTTAGAGATTTTGTTCAGTGGTTTCCCGGAGCAGCTCTGCACAGAAGTGCCTGAAAAGGTACTCTGTTCCACTGAGAGGAGAAGAATATCTTCATTTTGGTCCTTAGAAAGTTGCAGCCTGACCTTCCTGGGGACATTGCATTTCTCAGGTAACGTGAGCCATAAAATAATGGTCCAGAGGAGCTCTTGGGCATTAAGGAACATGAACCTTATGTTGTGAGGGACAGTTTGGAGTAACTGGGCTCCTGTCTTGTACACAGAATTTTGCAAATGTCACTGATATATGCAAAGAATTGGATTGTTGGTTTGGTTTCCTTCACAATCTAGAAGCTACACGAGCTGTTAATTGCTGGGGAGAAACCCCCAGATTTCAGATTCTACATGAGTGAGCAGTGGGCTGTGGCCACGGAAGAAGTCACAGACATTGGTAAAAGAAACACTTTGTGTGGAGGATTATTGAGTGAGAATGTTTTTTACCTTTCAGTTTAATCAAACAACAATGAAATGGTTATGAAGCAATGTCTTCTTTACCTGAAATGTTAACTTTTTATTAGCTTGCCAACTTTTTGCACTTGTAAAAGAATCCTTTGGGTATGGTGTTGAAACAAAGCTTTAAAAAGCTATTGCAACATCCAATTCTCTTTACTCCTGTACATGAGGATGTGCTGCTGATACAACAGCTCACATGGCTATAATTTTTCTGACAAGTTTATTTTCTGTAACTGTGCTTCTCCCTCAAAACACATGTTTTCCATTATGATAATATTTACTTGATATGCTGCGGTTAAAATACAGCTTTAAATATATTTGTTCAGGTTCTTCTTGGTGTGAATTTTATGTACAGCTTCTGGCTTTCGGTTTGTAACCACCAAAAGTCATTCATGCTGCAATGCCAAGGGTTTTGTTAACTCCTCCAGATTAAGGCAATACATTATGACCACGTGAATGTATTTTGAAGACATTTTTTTTGTAAGTAAGGTGGTAAATTTTAATCTGATGGCTGTTTTGCTGTGGTGCTCAGAGTCTACATGTTCTAAACTCCATACATTCATTTTCTGCTCTCCAATTACTGTACATTGCCTAAAGGCTTGTGTATGTGTAGCAGTGCACACATTTATGCAATATGCCTGCCAGTTGTAAACTATTACAGCGCTACATTAACGCTCTTTGTTGAAAGTAAAAACATTTTTACTGTATAAAGATCACCGGATATTTTTAAATTAACATGGCTGACTATCTAAATGTGTATGTTATTTCATAGATCACTTTGATTTAGTACTTGCAGCAGGCATGGTTTTGTGCATTATGTCCTTTCTCTTCAGGAACATTATAAAGTTTTCCCTTTGTGACTGAGATTATCAAAGTTTATTGGGATTTGCCTATTTATGAAAACGAACCAGGCTATTTTATTACTTTCCTCTGCAATTAATGTACCAACTTTATGAATTATAAGACACCTTCCTTTTGCTTTGAGCTTCTGTTTTATTTTATGGATATTACAAAAGCCTGGGAGAATTTCTACTGAGTCTAAACTTTGACCTGTTAGTGAATTTCTGAAACCAATGGAGTCCATGGAATCTTTGCCATTAGTGTTACTGAGGATTTATTTTGGCCAGGAGCATCAGGCCTCTTTATTTATTAAAACTGCCTAATACTTGCTGCTTTCAGTTGAATAATAATTCCATGAGGTGTGACGAGGAGCACAATCCATTAAAGGAAAATGAATCCATTTTTAATCAGTCTTCTGTGGGAACTGAATAGTACAGATCATACCTGGGACCAGCTTCCTGGCATGGAGGGAATAAACCTGAAGCCCTTGGGAGGGGATGCTGATGGAGTCATCCTACCTTAGAATTACTTTGTGAAGTTTCCCTTTGTGAAGCTCGTCACACCTCTCTGGGGTCTGTGGAAGGAGCCCCTCAGACCATGCACTCTCTGTATGAACATTAAAATCTATCTTTGGGCACCCCATCACACCCATCCCTCCATCATTGCCACGCTGCCCAGCCCAGTAACAGCGAGCTGTGACAGTCTCCTACCTCCTTTGTTGTCTAGTTGTTGATATAATTAATGACCACAAAGCTATACCTTTACCATTTCTGTTCTCTGAAACATGCACCTTCTAGTCTAATACCAAAGAGGAAAACAGTTCATTGGAATATTGATTTCTCTACCTGTACAGGCTCACTTAGGAGTTTTAATAAGTAGGACTACATTAATACAGTTTGCAGGTAAAATAATGTGTCA